ACCTAGATGACCCCAAGACAAACATTGGCTCCATCAACATTGCCGAATAAAAATCTAGGAAATAAGAAATTCATTCCCTCGGTGGCAGTTAATTTTTGTGTGTACATTGATTAAAAGCAAATAATAACTTTTCAATTGTAATATGGCAGCTGGGGTGACTGAAAAACATTAACAATTAAATTATATTATATTAAAATATATTGTTACGAAGCAATGTATGTTAAAAATGTTTTCTTTTATGAATAAGGACTTACGTATTGCGTTAAGCGCTCCTTGGTAATATGCATTGGCCGTGAGAGGACTTGTGAACCATCTGAAAATAAGATACGTTTATTAATATTCTTGTTCACCTAAAAAATTGCATAATCGTTTAGGAAAAATTAAAAACAATTCGTACTCTGGCGGTGCTTGATCCAATTTTGTTCGTTTTACTAGATCTAGGGTTTGCAATTTCTCCAACTGCTTTTCCCTTTCACTTGTTATCATGTTTTTGAAATAGGAGTTACGTACAGTGTACTGTGAAAATACATGTGATCGATTTAACGGTAGATCCTAATCGCAAAGCAGAACAAGTTTAGTGAAATAGTATTTAGTATTAGTTTTTTACCTTTTTATACCGGTTATTGAGAGCCGTTTCGTTCTTGTACCAATTTCGAAATCCGATCAAGTCTTTCATGCTTAATCGGTCAACTGCATTCTGTTTTGTTTCCCAATCTGCCATGGTAGAGTGCAAAATACGCATTTCGATTTGTGCCTTGATTTCACGAAGCATCCTCATGATCTGTAAATAATATTGCATAAATAATGTTCATTGTATGCACCTTTCACTGTTAAACAAAAATGCATAAATATTAGAACAAGATTCATTTGAAATAGCAAAATGTATTGTTTTGACGCCACTTTCTTATATTGAAAATAAAATACAAATATTGATAATATATTGATAATTCGGTAGAGTCTCACTCAAGCTTTCATTATTCGGCGCTCTGAGTTTCTCGCACAAATGTATTTGTCCTAAAACTCTACCGATTTTCTTGATATTTCTCCCGTTTCTACTGACTATAAATACTTACGTCTATCTTGGCTTTATTCATGGCAGATTTCTTTAAATACTTTATTAGGCATCTCTGATAATATGTCTGTAGAGCATAAAAATTACATTGAAATTAACTATGCCCAAATTTAAGCACAGTCGGATATACTTGGTCTAGTTGCATCTTAATGTTTGGAAAATTGTTCAAAAAAATATACTTTGCAGCATAAATTATTAATGCCATTTCTTATATAGGTATATATTAAGTTATTTAGGTTAATTTGAATTTACGAGTACCTTCGGTTTGTGTCCACATCTTTTTTTTCAGAGCGGAAAATTGAGTCCAAAGAACATAATTATCTGGAATATTTGGTTTTCAGCCCGTTTTCCACACGCGAATTCATAAAAATCGTCACAGGGGTCGACGCTTGTATTTAAATTTTGTTTGAGGTCGTCAACTAAAAAGATTCGGTTTGATTAGTTTCCTTATCACGATTTTGCATTATTAAGATTGAACCACACCTCCGACATTAACCTTATATATTATAATAATTTGTTATTTACCGATTTCTACAATACTTTAGTTGTACACACATTGTAACGAGGTTGTTCCACTTCATTTTCTCGACTTTTGGTGTCATCATAACTCTTTACACTTGTTTTTAGTTGTTTTAGACGTTCACCTGTGATATCAAAAATATAGGCTATTTCAGGAACAATTGAGGAATTAATGACAATATAATTAATGGCTCTGAAAAGTGCAAACATTCTTTTAAAACTTGAGGAATGGAAACAGATCAAATAGAAAGGGAGAGCAGTGCATCCGGTAAATCATCGATGGAAAAGAAGTAATTATATAATATTAATATGGCTCTTAACATTCTGAAACTTTTCATAGATCCAAAGACAAATTAATCGTTATCATAAAAAAACTAAGGTACACTTAATTTTCATGAATAGAAAATTGTCCATGGGTGCTTCTTTTCAACAATCATAGGGTTACTGTCGGTAACGGTTCTATTTGTTTTACTTCTCTTTACAAATCTTACGTCTTGATGGGAATATTGAACTGGAAGTAATGATTTAATTGTAAGTCGAAGAAGCGAATCCCCTTTGAAACTAGAAATAAAACTCGAAGTCGTGAAGGATCGACTCTTCGTGGCTCTTAAAAATAGATTTATTCTTCAGTGGAATGTACGAAAATATTAAAGATGGACGCCAGGGATAACGCGATCACGATTTCAGTGTTATAAAATGTCCACCGGCTGTCGCAGCAAGGTTCCGCGTAGCCATGGAATTCTGTTTCATAAAACTGTTGCCTTTGTTGGTGATTTTAAGCAGTTTCGTCGGAGCTTATAACGTTCCAGCCCGCAACAATTCGATTCAAAGATCCTTGTCGCCGTCGACCATAGAATTGTTACTCCGAAACCAACAAGACATGGAAGACAGCGATGATCCACTTTTCAAGTGCCCCCCAAAACCGAACAAAGATATCTCGATTTTCTACACGAGTGACAGATGCAAATTAATAGAAGCAGTCACGGAAGCTAGGAGAAAAGGTGAGGACCCGGACCCGGCCATCTTGCAGGCTCTCGGTGGTTCTTCGAACGATCAGCCAGGTCCTTCCAGAAGACGATCTGCAAAAGAAGAGAAAGAACATCGAGATCTTCTGAAGGCGTTTGAAGATGCCTCGCGAATTTTTAATGAGAAACTCGCCAAAGGAACCTTATCCTTAAAATCGCAAACATTCAAAACCAACAGGCCCACGTCTCCGCCTAGACCTACTTCTCCTCCACGAAATATTCGAACTACCACTCGTTCTCGCTCAAGAAATAAAAATAAGAGAAGACGTCTAGAATAAGTACAGGAAGTGGAAATAAATGATTTTGTTTCTGGGCATATTCAAAAGGATGTTTGTGTTATTTGTTACACCTTTTTGCGACTTATCGCTGGCTACGTTTAATGTATCTCGCAGGGGGAAAGAATCCTGAAATTACGGAAGTGTGGGAAAAGGCTAGTAAGGGATAGATTTAAATGTTCTTAATAACGTGAAAGTTTCTGTAACAGACGTCAAAGTACTTTTCCGAAGAAGCGATTCTCAGAAATTATTACTAGAAATAGGAGGAACATTTTTGGAAACATGCCATATGATTTTAGATTCGATTCAATCTTTTTATTGCATATAAATTATCATATATGTGATTCGGTCAACAGACGGAAACGTTGAAATCATGTAAAATTATTTTCCGGCAATATTAGATTCTCTTGACATTAGTCTGTGTTCAGTAGTATATAAGACTTACGACCAGATATGTGAGAAATTGAGAAATATGCATACCTTTCTTCGGTATCATCGGAACTAGGCAATCAATAAATAGAACATTTTAAATTATTTATTATACAACTCTATTTCTTTATCTTCATTTATTTTTGTATGTCGTTGATTTGTGAGGCATTTACAAAAGGCGGTCCAAGTTTCGAAGATGCATGAATTGTTTCTGATCAAACTTGTTTGCGCAAGTGAATGCCATACATTCCAACTTGAGACGATTCTTTATTCTTCTTTCCCCAATCTGACTTACAATTGAACAAATATCATCACGTTTTCTGTAATGTAAATTCCAAAAGCATCGATTAGGATCGTTTTTAGCGATTGGAATACTTTCAAGCGTCCATTCCCCTATTACGTTGTATCCATGCCCAAAAACGGCAACACTTGAAACAATAAGTCCTATTGTGAAAGATAACCCGTATTTTTCCTGCTTTAATGTGGAAATTCTCTTACTACAGGCATTGAAGAAAGTGACTTCTATGATTGCAAATTACATTTTGAAACGTTTGCAGTTTAGATTTTCTTCTAGAGCCACCATATACGAATGCTGAAACATTTAATATTTTAACACGTGGGTTAAACGAAATCCTACGGTTTTCTTTTACGAAATAGTTCAGGGGAATCTAAGCGGCCTAATATTTTCTTGGCTTAACTAATTTACACAAGTGTCTTTTAGGTAACCATTTGGCGTGCGTTCGTGTATTGCGATATGATTTTTATTTAATTAGTCGCTTATAATTTATGCTCGTGTATATAACATCTTTTGTATTGTGATTTCGGTACTTTAAGAGGTATAGTTACTTATTTTCTATAATAAACGTGAAGATTCTTTTCGGATAGTTTGGCATCACCACATTTTGCACTTTTGCGGACGATTCATTTTATCGTTCGGTTTGCATTTGAACGCTTTATTAAACTCATCCATGTTTGAAACTACACCATTTACTCTTAAATGGTTTATACTGTGCTGTCTGTCGCTATCCAAAATTACAGTGCTCAGAAAGTATCCTTGTTTATAATCGCACAACATCTGGAAGAAATAGTTATTGAAGCAGTTATTGAAAAGAGTAAACATTTTAAGTCTAGAGTATTATTAAACAGAGAATCGCTTACATTGCCGTACGATATGAAAAAAAGTTGATTGTGGTCGTATTCCTCCAGGTATGGAAGTTTTTCCAGAGGCACGTTTCGGCTTGCTTTCTGAAACCCGGCAAAAGCGGCTTGCATGCCGATTGCATCGGATAAGTTCTCGTTGAAAGTCTTCTCGCCATCTTCCTACAAGTTTATTTCAAATTTAGAAATGCAAATGAATGTTTCATGCATATTGGGCTCTTTTCATAAATTGATCCTTTACTGAGTTTCTGTAACGTTATTGGTCAAGTGGAACTCTCTAAGTGAAATACTTCTATTTCATGTACTAGTAGTTGAACATGAAATCTTCTTCATTTAATTGCAATGGCATTAAAATGAAAAAAATCGATGACTTAATTGTGAACTCAATTAGACTGAATAATTTAAATTCGCGACAATAAATTAGAAAGAATGAAACATCGTTGGGGGATGTACGATGTGAATTTAGTTCGATCAGGAAACTCGGTAGTTTTGCGCCAAATATACACTTGCATTGCGTTGTATACGTATGCGCGAAGCCAAGTGCATGCGTGAAACGCCATCGAGTTCTTAACGCCATGTTTGAGCTTGTTAAACCCGTAAGAATTAATATCTCCGTATTTAACCCTTTTAGTGCCGATCGAAGTCGTTACCACTGAAAAACGTCGATATATCGTTGATCGGCACTAAAAGGGTTCCTTGTAGCCTGGGACTGAGATACATCAATAAAAATGGTTTCCGCAGTTGTTCTATTTTTTTCAGATTTTTCTAAGTCATTTTTATCCTATACTAGCATTTGAAACATTTTCAATGTCAGTTTTCGCTCGCTCAGCGTATTCAATCATTATCGTCGTCGTCTTTCTACGGGCTTTTTTGCACCTCCAAATGAGAAACTCCTCTTTTATCAGTTCAGTTTTCTTACAAGGAAGGTACCTGAGGTGTCCCCCTCCGATTTTGTTCATTTTTAAATATGTTATAGAGGACTAAAATCTAAGGGACTAGTGTTTTTTTTTGTCGGCGGATAAACACGTTTAGGGGGTGAAATCAGGCTTCAAAGTTGGCCGTGCAAGGGGGTGAGTTGGCTGTTTCATATAGAAGCACTCGTCCGATTTTCATGAAACAACCGTCAATATGTAGGGAATGAAGAATTATGAACCATGCGTTTGGAATTTTTCGAAAAAATTCATTTTTAAGGGGTAAGCCACCCCTTTGAATACTTCTTTTACTCCTTACGCGAGCAGTAATTGTTCCATCCAAATGAAACTTTTTTTGTATTGTTCTGGTCTATAAATTAACCAAGTTTCATATCGATAGAGCAATTAGTGCTCGCGTAAGGGGTAAAAGAAATATTCAAAGGGGTGGCTCACCCCTTAAAAATGAATTTTGTCGAAAAATTCCAAATGCATGATTCATAATTCTTCATTCCCTACATTTTGATGGTTGTTTCATGAAAATCGGACGAGTGCTTCTATATGAAACAGCCAACTCACCCCCTTGCACGGCCAACTTTGAAGCCTGATTTCAACCCCTAAAAGTGTTTATCCGCCGATAAAAAAAACACGAGTCCCTTAGATTTTAGTCCTCTATAACATATTTAAAATGAACAAAATTGGAGGGGGACACCTCAAGTACCTTCCTTGTTAGTTGATTCTTTTAAGCTAATACTTTATTAAGTCCTTAAAAAATACCTTAGGTGTAAAATAATTTAAATAGTTTTTCCATCAAAATTGGAATCAACAGTTTTTTTCAAACACATTAGTATTTTCATTCTATGACATATTCAAATCAGATAGTTGTCAAATTATCGTACACTTTGCCCTATGTAATACAAGTACATCTAATCCAAAAATCAGTTTTCTATTATCATCTCTAATCAAATGAATAAATTAAAACTAAGCGTAACCAAGTAAAAAAATTTAGTTTACTATAAGCAAATGACATGGTATTTTTTTAAATAAATTGTATGATGAATTTTCGGACACTGCTTCAATAACTTTTTTCTTAAGAAGCTTAATCAACAAACTTAGCAATAATTTATTTCTAAGAAATAAAACACGAAGTTTGTACAAATTACAAAAAATAGTGAAATCTCTTCCAAAAGAAGACTTTCGGTGTTAAAAAACCTTGTGCCAAATATATTTATTTTGACATTCCCAGAAAACGTATAGTTAAACAACTGACTCATAAACTACAGATCGTATAACAAAAATAAATAAAATCGGTATAATTAAAAAAGAATACCGCGAATTTATACGAAAATGGTATCGTTTTATTATCTGCCAGAGAAAGTTATGAAATCAACTACTTTTGCTAAACACGTGGATGTTTCTTATAGCCGCAAGAAGATAAAGTCAATATTTATACGAAAATGATATCATTCCATCTTTCCAAGAAAGCAATGAAATCACTTTTTCCAAATTCGTTAATTGATTCTTATGATTGTAAAAAGGTAAAGTCAATTCTGTTTGTTCCTATCATAATTAAAATAATAACGATTAATTTCACAAATGTAATCAAGTAAATGTCACATACAAAATACTAAAACTAAATAAAATAGATGAATGTTACTTAACCCCCACATAAGTAATACAATCTATTCCTTTCATCACATATGTGATGTTACGTTCCACGTAACGTCACCCCTCCAATTACATATATTAATTAAGTTAAGCGTCATAATTACTTTTTCTCAAATACTATGTTACTTTGATATTAATATCGTATTATATCGTCTTCGCTCGTCTGTCAATTTTCTACCGAACACATGTTAGCAACGTGCTCAAAATAGGTAACCGTCATCAAGCGAAAGGTGATAAGAGCGAGAGTCCCTTGTTCTTAATACTCTAAACAACGGTGGCCCGGGTCAGTGATAGTCCAACCAAGGGCTTTGAGTACATATTGTTAGTATACGTAAGAAAACTCATAGAAATGGACAATGTTAAGTTGACGGCAGTGTCCTCCCTCTACCAAAATTTTGAGACAATGCATTTTAGGAATAGTATAAAAGGGGACGCACCTATGCACCCACATGCTCAGTTTCTTTTCAAAATTCATCGAGTGCGAGCGAGCTTGTTTCTTTTCAAAATTCATCGAGTACGAGCGAGTTCAGTTTCTTTTAGAAATTCACAAAGTATGGGTAGCTTCTGTTTCCTTTTTCTTTCGACAACAAGCAAGCGATATCGACAACGAGCGTTCTCCAAAAAAAAAGTACGAGCGAGCAAGAAAATCAAACTTTTCTCTATTGAAGGTACCAATTTTTTCAATGTTTAAATAAATCGATCATTCACATTTATACGAACTTTTCCTTTTCTTTTCTTCTTTCGTTTGAAAGGAGAAACAATTACGTCCTAAAAATCCTACTATCCCTTTAATGTAAGAGGGCGCGGGGCTTGGTCTAGCTTCCCCTCTATATCTAATTCTTACTATCTCCTTGACATAAGAGGGCGCGGGGCTTGATCTAGCTTCCCCTCTATATCTAATTCCTACTATCTCCTTGATATAAGAGGGCGCGGGGGCTTGGTCTAGCTTCCCCTCTATATCTAATTCCTACTATCCTTTTGATATAAGAGGGCGCGGGGCTTGGTCTAGCGTCCCGTCTACATCCAACTCCTATTATCTTCTGATATAAAAAGGAGACCGGGCCTTGGCCTAGTTTCCCCTCTAAATTTATCCCAATCGACATTCCCGAAACCAACGACGATAACGATCAGGCGTTTGCACCAGGGGACCCTAGAATCTCCAAGCCAGTAGCAACTCTAGAGTGAAATAAAATCATCTTCATCTACTTCGTAAAAAGATAATTAATTTCTTCCCACTCGGACGTAACAGTGAACCGTTTCTTAATGCAAAAATAAAATACGAATTAAAAATGAAATAGTTTCGGCGAACCTTGTTCCGCTGTAGTTGCAAGTACTTCTACAACTATTTATTGCGAAACTGCGGATAAACATATAGCGGGGCTCGCCAAAACTGTTTCAATTTAATTCGTATTTTATTTTTGCACATAAGCGGATCACATATGTGGTAAAAGAAATCGATTTTATTACTTTTGTGGAGGGTAAGTACCACTCATCTATTTTATTTAGATTTAGTATTTTGTACGAAACATTGATTTGATTACATTTGTGAAATTAATCGTTATTATTTTAATTATGGTGGGAACAAACTGAATTGACTTTACTTTTTTGTAATGATAAGAATCAATTAACGTATTTGGAAAAAGTGGGTTGATTGCTTTCTCGTAAAGATGCAATGATATCATTTTCGTATAAATTTTGACTTTACCTTTTTGCGGCTATAAGAAACAATGCACGTATTTGGCAAAGGTAATTCATTTCATTATTTTCTCCGGCGGATAATAGAACGATGCCATCTTCGTATAAATGTGCAGTATTCTTATTTAATTATACCGATTTTATTTATTTTTGTTATACGATCTGTAGTTTATGAGTCAGTTATTTAAGTATACGTTTTCTGGGAATTTGAAAGTAAATATATTTGGCGGAAGGTTTTTTAACACCAGAGGTGTTGTTTTTGTGGAGTATTATAAAAAGACTAATGGCCTTAAGATCTAAGAACTTACTTTAACGGGTTTTCTAGTAGTGTAATTTTTTAATCCCGGAATGTCATAACCGTTGTATTGCTCAACGAAACATGATCTTATCCTTCGGAACCGCTGCTCAGTGGCTGATGTCCACAATGGAAGATACTGATGATGTTCGTTAAATGATCTGCCTGCAATTAGCATAATTACCATGCGTTCCGTTTCTCCGTTCAATTCCCATTGAACACCAAACTTAACAGTTACATAACTTAAAACTAACAAATAACATATAATTTGTTACAATGTAATAACCTAACAGTTACGTAACATAGAGCTAACTAGTTACACGACATTTGTTACAACTCAGTAACTTAACAGTTATGTAACATGAAGCTAACAGGTTACATAACATTTGTTACTATCATATCTATATAAATGTAGCGTAACTTTGTTATTCTTATCTCACATTATGTTACTGTCCTGATATTACTGTATATATGCAGCAAATATTTGTAACAAAACAGAACTACATTGGTGCTGTTATCTATTTTATTACATTATCATCATCGTCAAATGTCATATTTTGTTTACAACTCGTATGAAAAAATGTGATTTTAATTCGTACGCGCATATATGGTACATTATCAGTAATTGTTTGCTAGGCGAATGAAATCATAGCCTTTATTTAAAAAGATAGTTTATCATTCGCATAATTTCATTTAGTCTGATTTATTATATACTATCTAACTATTGCGAAGTGCCACAAAATAATACAATAAAAAAATTTATATTTTTTATAAAATTGCATTATTTTTTTATTAAATGTTTGAAAAATTAATATTATTTTAAGATAATTGATCTTATAACATGTTACATAACATATTACCGTATTGAGTGGGAAATAATAACAAACATCTAACTTCGATATTATTTTTATGCTACATAACGCGTTAGCTTCGTAAACGTGACATTAACCTAACAGTTATATAACAGTGTTCTGTGGGTTCATATTTGGAATATTACCTCAAAGGTTTCAAATTAGATATTGCTTACCATAATCGTCGAAGGCGTGACCATTTTCATGGGTTATAATAAATCCGACAGAACCATAATTGTAGAGTTGCAGCATTCTGTTGAAAAAAGTCGAACCCATACAAATTATTTTCCTATCGTTGTTATTTGAACTATACTCGGTTACATTGTGTACTCACTTGGAGTTTCCCGAAACAAAAAGTGGAGGCGCCAACAGCGGGGCGTAAACGGCTGAAACATAAATACATTACGTAAATTCAGTGGTACTTTCTTCCCCTATTACATTTGTAGAAAAGAAATGCTATTGTTTTAACGTATGAATCTTCACTTATTGTACATTTATGTAACACTATAAATATCTAGCGTAATAATGTATATTCAGCGCAAAAATTATTAATTTTGTAAACAGTAATTCTTTGCCGCCGCTTTATGTATAGTTTTGACAACACTTATTAAATTGGAGTTTAAATACTAAACCACTTAACTAATGCTACTCTTACTCACTTAAAACATTTGCCTCGAATTGGTAGGCAGCATTCACCTGGAGCACGTCTTTCCATCTGCAATATCGGTATTCAACTTTCAAAACGAATTCTCACTGCTTGTGAAATCCAACATTTGATATAAATTCTTGAAAAAAGGTCGCTTACATCTTTTTTGCTAAATGTTCCGCACGAGTCATTTTTATGTGTTTCTTCAAGCTGTCTATCCTGTGTTCCTTTACATTTTCGAAAAACTGTTCAGGTATTACGTGTAACTGGTACAAATGAAGGAGAAAAATACGCTTGTTAATTTTTTGGTTCCACTGATGAAGTAAAAATAACTTAGAAAACTAAGAAAGAAATATAAATTTAGAAAACAGTCTTTACCGATTCGTAATATTTATTGACTGCGGCAGCATCTCGATAAAATACAGGACCCTCTAACAATGCGTACATTGATACTAATTTCTCTCTCGACGCATCCTTCGATTGTCTATCCATCCAATTAGCGTTTAATATCTGCTGATCTAAGGCGAACCTGGTGTTCGTCAAGATGTCTAGTAACTACAAAAGTTGAATTAAAAGTATAAAACAACTTTTAAAGGTATAGAAAATAGGAAGTATAAATACAATGAGATTAACGAGGTCAAACGATAACAATTATTTCTTTAAATTCTTTTCTTGTGTGAGCTACTTCTTTAGTCTGTTAAAATATTGCGTTTATTAGTCATAACACTTTGTAGTTGATAAATGGAGTGCTCAAATATTCGTATCATTCAGTTGTGGTCGTATCCAATACATCCACTGATTACCGTGCCATGGATATTACGTTTTCAAAAATGCAGTCTTACTGTTCCGTCCGCGAAACTCGTATATGTAAATTCATCGCGGACGTTGAAATGTCAAACAAATTCCTAGAAAGGGTCTTACTGCCTGCTTGGGCCCATCGGGCCATTTACCAATTTAACAATTTTCTGACGTCGAAATCGGCTCGTAAATCTTAGTTTTCTCCGAGACGACATTATTGCCCTGTACGTCCCATCGCGGAAGTTTAGGGTTCTTTAGAATTTTCTCGGATTGACCGTCCCTATTCTTTACCGTCTACCTTTTTTAACTTTACCGCTTACACGTGCGCGCAACATGCACACGTGCATACAACATGTTTTTCCATCTGCACAGCAACTTGAAATTTTCCGTTTTCACCTAACCGTATTGGACAGCTACCGACCAATCACGAAGCTGACTATTCGATTTTAACCGCCCTTCTTAAAATCAGTCAGCCAATCGTTATGCTAGAAATATGCTACCACCTCCTCAAAAAATGTAATGCGACCGGAGGAGGAATTCTGTAATTTTTCTGTAAGTCAGTCACTCTCCGTCTCTCGATAATTTAACACGTCTCTCGTCAGCCTTCACCATCAGCTCTGTAACAGTTATCCTTATTCACGCGTGAAGAGCTGACAAAATTCTAAGTCAGTCGTCAAATTTAATATTATAATAAATTTAAGCTGTTTTGTTCGCGATAGTCTCACTTGTCATTCGGGTACCTTCCTTCTGCATGTGAGCAGTTGTATGAATATCTCATTTTGCAATTCCACTTGCAAAAACCAACGAGATTCATACAACAACTGCCCGACAAACTAGCCGGGCAGAACACTTACCTTGTCTTTATTTCCATTTGGCACGAATTTCCTCAAATATTCATAGATAATTGCATCATTGAAAGGGTTTGCTTTGAGGCACTCTAACCACCTTAAATCAAGATACTTGAAAATTGTCGTCGAATTGACGCGTTAAATGACGTCAAAATTGATTATCTTATTTTTAAATTAAATTAAGCATATAGTGTACTTAAACAGGATTATCAACAAATCAAATAAGACACATAACAGACCTCGGGAAATTTTCTGTGTTGGGGAACACCGTTGTCATAAACTGTTGGATGGTGTCTCTCATTGTTGGAGTGGTGTACAATATCCAGCGTGAAACGAATTGCCAATGAATGTGGTTCACTGCGGAAAACCGATTTCCAATTACCATGTTTATTTTTTAATCAAATCAGACCTTTAGGCTTCTTACCAATGGTTCGTTCGGACGCGCTATTCAGAATATAGGCGAGTTTTTCGAAATATTCAATGTTAGTGACGTCAATTTCTTCCGACCAATCGAGTTGTATATCAGCAACTTCCAGTATATTTTCAAAAACATCGAGCCAGTTTATCTGATCCGCGAGTGGAAATAGATTAAATAGATTTGAGAAATAAATTATTCCTCGAATTGTTTCTTGACTTTACCTGGGTTTTTGGGTTATCTCTATCGTTAGATTGATCGTACCGCCGCTGTAAGTCACTAATTTTCATTCTCGTTGTTTGCATTGCCCGATTTCGTGTCCCAGGATTAGCAGCCTGTCAATTTTTTAAAACAGTCACGAAACACTTTTCGTGACTTTTCTGATATTATTGATGTCCAAAGTACGACATTTACGTAGTGTATTTATGTTCAACTTATATAACCACGATTGTAATGTGGAAATCTACCATTTACCTTAGTTAACTGCATTTCTAGGATCATCATGTCACCGATATCTGTTGAAATTGTTTGCGGTTTAACGCGAGTCCCAGTGGACGGCATAAAATTCCTCACAACAGTATTTATAAAATCGTTGTAAGCCAAGATATCCGTTTGATGACTACTAGACCTTTCAAAAACGTACTCGGGTAGCAAAAATAGAGGTGGGGTCAACTGTAAAGATTTAATTCTCTGAATTAAACCTTAAAAAGTCGAAAATGTTATTTAATACAGATACAAATTGTAAAGAAAATAACGAGATTAGCGCTACACAAGTCTCCGTTTTTTGTTTGGGGAAAAAGTCGCGGAACGCGACTGAAGATAAAGATGAAGATACTTTTTACTACTATGAATGAAGATACTTTCTACTACTGAGAATAATATGATGTGGAACGTTTATCTGCAGGGGATTTAGTCAAATTATGATACCCAGATTACATAATTGTTTTTATAACTGAAAACGTATATTGTTGTTACTTAAATTTTGTTGGCTTCGCAAAGTAGCAAAACGATTTCTCCGGGCTTTATTTGATTTTCAGTCCTTTACCTTAAGAATTTGCCTTTCAGTCTGGCTTTGAAGGTCTGGTATTATCTCTATTTTAAAAAAAGCCGATGCTCCGTGATTATAAATTGTGTAATAATGATCAATGTCTTGCCACTCTTCGGGTGTCCAATTTGGAAGTATAATCGGCCATCCACCTAGTTTCTGTAACGTTTCTTTAATCGGTTCAAGTCCTCTCCGTCTCAGAGTTTCTGTAAAGGAAAATCATTGTTTCTGATTACTATTTAAGGTGAAGTGAAACCCCCCTCAAACCAGTCGTTTCGAACTCGAACACTTTTTTTTAAGGGTATTGGATAGAACTGTCCGAAACTTTTTCACGTAACTCGTAAGCACCTTGGATTTATCCTGACATTTTCAAAACTTGGATTTTTTTTTAATTGTTTAACTTAGTCCAAACCAGTACCAAAATGACGTCGAGCTCTCATATTTCGATTGATATCCAATTATTGAAGGCCCTAATATGAGGAACGAAAGTGTGAGGACAATTGTACGACAATTTAGAACGCTCTGGTAATAGAAAAACTCGTATTTGAGCGGGGTAAAGGCGAAAAAAGTATCTTATGCGCTTCTATGCTAAAACAATGGTAATACGAGGTCTGGAAGTGAAAATTTAGTTAACATGGAAATCACAGATGGCGCAGGGGGTCCCTCTGCAGTCAATTTGGGCTTCAGAAACAATAAATCCAGGGGATTTCTGGAATTTTACTTCGATTTCTTTATAATTATAGCACGAAAACGACAGATGGAGTATGCCATTTAGTACAACACTCAATATAATTCGACACGACTGTCAATATAAAAATGAACGTCGGCAACTTAGGTATTTAGAAAAATCATTTTTACCGACGTTGATCAAGTTCCTCGACGTGCTTCATTTCACCTTTAAACTATTTAGTTAAATATTGCCGCCTTACCATCGTCCATACACGTTTTGTGCCAACTTTTGGCTTTCTTCAAGGCGAGAATTTCATTCCGTGGCTCCTCTTCAATTATTTCTATTAGTAAAACATATCACAATATTTCTAAGCAGTTGAACAATTTTTCGATTTTTGAGGCATATTATTATATTGGAAGGATGATTTGAATGCAAGTTTCTATAAGTCTATAAATTCTGCATAAGTCTAAATATCTAGTAATGAATTTTCAAAAGACCAATATCTCTGAATTTCTGTAGAAGTCTTAAGACGGAAATTTGTGTTAAACATTACCTTTAATTTGAGCGGTTATCGTATCCTTGGCCCTTTCAAACTGAGTAAAGAATGGCTTGTTCTTGATATCAGGAAACCTGTTTTCCCAGTTTCCGCAAACAAATTCATAAAAATCATCGCAAGGGTTCACGTCGGGGTTAATATTTTGCTTTATATCACTTCCTAGATAATATTAGATGTTAAGTTTGAACCGTCGACGCATCGATCAGGTCTAAATTATTGATTTACCAAGACTCCAACAGGCAGGTTCATCGCAAATGGGAGTGTTACGTGGAACATTAGGCTTTTTATTAANTAATTGCCTCGTGGTATATGCAAAGTGGAAGTGTATGATTTGACGCCGTGGATCAATATGAATTTATTCCGTTTAAGGAGTTATATGCAGTTGTCAGGCGGAATTCATAAATGTTTTTTCATAACTAAAATGCATTTTTTAATCGAAAACAGAGCGTGATTTCATATTACAATTATTCTACTTAATATATAATTTATTTTTTCAAGATATTATTAAAAATTGGTGTGGTACAGCAATTCTCCGAAAAAGCTTTTTTTTTTGCGGTGACCACGAGATCTCAAAAAGTATTTCACCGATCGGCTTCAACTTTGTAGTGCTCATTCTACGCATAGAGGACTGCTGAATGAACGAAGGATTGATTTTTTTTTTATGAAAAATTGCTGTTTTATTAAATAAAAACGAAAATGTTATAAGACGAAAAAAGTGATTTTTCAGTGAGACCACTGCCATTTTGGGAAAAATCGGAATTTCGAAAAATCTTTCGTTCATTCAGCAGTCCTCCATGTGTAGAACGAGCCCTAAAAATTTGAAGCCGATCGGTGAAATGCTTTTTGAGATATCCTGGTCTCCGCAAAGAAAGAACCTTTTCGGAGAATTGATGCACCTCGCCAATTGTGTAATATATCTTGACAACAAAATTATGTATTTAGTTCAGTAATAGTACCATGAAATCACGCTCTGTTTTCGATTAAAAAATGCATTTTAGTCATGAAAAAAATTCTTGAATTTCGGCTATCACAACTGCATATAACTCCTTCAAGGTTATGAGTAAGGTAATTTTTACCAAAAATTTACTCACACTGGCCCCAGATATGAAAAACAGCTGGTTATTGTCGAATTGCTCCATATACGGTAGTTTTTCAAATTGCAAATTTTTGCTTTCTGCCTCGAAAGCGGCAAAGGCCGCTTGAAGTCCGATGGCGTCGACCAAATTTTCGTTGAATGTTTTCTCGCCATCTTCCTGAATAGGACTTATTTTAAGCTTAAATGCAGCTAGTGCTTGCTACATAGTTTTTAGATAGAGCTTTTGAGCACACTGGGTTTTTCAAGTACTTATAGTCCAGTAGAACTATTCAAAGGAAATACATCTCATAATAGAACGCCCGATCTTTCCCAATTGATAGCAATAGTATTAAAATGTATAAATATACGTTACTTAAATTGTATGTCATTCTATTAGGCAATAAATAATTTTAATTTGCGACGAATAAACATGTAGGTAATAAAATACACACAAAATATTGTTAGAAAATAGATAATAGAAGTTCCGTGCGGTTTATCCAAATGAGGTTAACGCATTCCTGGACGAAGTATTTACTTACTTTAAAGGGTTGTCCAGTAGTCTCATTTTTTATCCCTGGGATATCGTAACTACTAAATTGTTTAATAAAACAAGATCGAATCTTCGCGAATTGTTTATTAGTGGCTTCGGTCCATAACGGAATTGTATGAGATCGTTCATGATATTTCCTCACTGCCGTTAATAATAATATTATATTAGTGCCGTGCATTTTTCGTGTGATTTGGATTAAGATAAATTCATCAGAAGTATTGAGATATATACATTTATTGCTTACCGTTATCATCGAAGCCGTGACCAACTTCGTGGCCTATAATAGATCCTATACCACCAGAATTATACAATTCTAGAATGCTGTAGAAGTGTCGAAGGTGGCGTTGGTAGACATTTATTTTTTTTTTATTACTCTCAAATATTGTACTACTTACCTAGATGACCCCAAGACAAACATTGGCTCCATCAACATTGCCGAATAAAAATCTAGGAAATAAGAAAATCATTCCCTCAGTGGCAGTTAATTTTTGTATGTACATTGATTAAAAACAAATAATAACTTTTCGATATGTCTGGACTTTCGTCTGCTAGACGGCTAATACATTTCATGTGTTCTAGCAATGCATACTAAGCGTAAGGAATTTTTAATTCTTTTGGGGTCATTATATTTTTTATTTCAGTGAGCGAAAAAATTATTGCGTTGAATAGATCTTCACTGGGTACTATCAACGAAATAGGTTAAAGGGTTGATAAAAAAAAATTAAGACAAAAAAAAGATCAACTTTCTTCAACTTAGCGTCACTAAGTACGTTTGATTCGATATCGTTAAATTTACTGCAAATAAGCGTGATGGAGTGAAAAGTTTATTCACTTCAAAGAGTGAAATACATTGAAAGAAGTAATAATATTCTTGTTACAAAGTAAAATTTAATAGAATAATCAGTATATTTGATGTTTTTTTCTCAAACTTCTGGCAGTTACTGGTAAGCTCCTTCTTGCATCGGCTTCCATAAATATTCATTCGTTATTAATAATTTTTAATATCAAGTACCAAGTTGATTGTGTAAATACAATATTCGATCCAGAAAATGATATATCTTTAATTGATTTTTCAATAATTAAGATCACTTTCTTACACGACATTCTTTTCGCCTTATTATTTCCACTTGTTGTCAATTGGGTTGTAACATTGATTATACAAAATGAAATTTTCTGGAGCCAAGAAAGTTCTTTAATAAGAAACATTCAGATTACCGCAACTAATGAATCTCGTCAAGGAAGTACATTATTCGGTCAGTATACACCAGTACGTTAGGTCTTATAGGCGAATTGTAGACTGAGTTACTTACATATTTTATTCTGATCAGGAAGGTGATAGGCATTCGCTGCAAACATATCGTTCCATCTAGAATGTCGAAATAAAATACTCAGAATTGTTCTGCTCCTTGTTTCGAATATTCGATGCTATGAATTAACTTACAGCTTATCCTCTAAATGGTCATCAACATTTTTTATTAAAGTTCTTGCAAAAGTGGCGTTCTTTTGTTTCTTTATATTTTCGAAAAATTCTCCAGGTTCTATGAGTAACTGGTGAAGACGGTAAGAGAAAGGAATGGAAAAATGAATGAAATTAATGATTAAAGACATTGATTAAACGAATAGAAAATGGGAAAGCAATAATTACGTCCTCGTAAAATCGATCGACTTCAGTGCGGTTTCGATACATTGTAGGAGCTCCTAAAATTGCGGATACTGACATTAATTTTGACCTCGTCGCATTCTTCGATTGTTCATCCATCCAGTTGGCATTTGATATCTGCTGGTCCATAGCAAACTTAATATTATTTAGTAAGCGTTCAAACTGGAACATTTGAAACAATAGATTAAAAATAAATTTACAAATGCATAAAGTAAACGTAGAAACTTACAGTACTTTGGGTTGCATCTGGCACGTATACATTTATATATTCGTATATAATTGCCCGGTTATAGGGATTCATTTCAATACACTCCTGCCATCTAAATCAAGTTAATCGTCAAATCTGATGCACTAGAATACATCAGACCTATTTATTATAAAAGTAATTGTGGCATTCTTTACAGAAATAAACACCGTTATATCAACAAAATTATCAACAAATGGAAGGAATTTCAAACCTCGGTAGATTGTTTGTGTATGAACCCATATCATTAGTGAAGTTCTTGAATGCTTCTCTCAATATCGGAGTCGTGTAACGTATCCAGTTGGAAACGAATTGCCAATGAACGTGGTTCACTGCGAAAAAGAGACCCCGATTGGCAATGTTACTTCAATAAATGGATTTCATACAATAAATGAATCTGCAAGCTGTTTACCGATAGCTCGTTCATTCGTGAAATATAAAACGATAGGAAGTTTGTCGAAATAGTCTATATCGATTACTTCCACTTCTTCCGATTCGTTAATTTCTACCCCAACGATTCCTACCGCTTTTTGAAGGACGTCGAGCCAGTTGATCTGATAAATAATTCCATAAAAATAAATTACACGATTTTTAGCAATAAATTATTCTTTACCTCACCTGAGATTTAGGGTTATTGCCATTTCTCTCATTGTATCGGTATTGCAATTCAGAGATAGTTAGTCTGATTGATGGGGTCGAGTCTACTGGTTTATCATGCTTAGCAGTCTGCCAAATTTTCAAAGCGTTAATACAATACCTTTCACCCTCAAAATAAGACATTCATAAATTGCAAACTCATCTCGATTTTTGGGGTTTTAATGATAGAGAATAATTTATCTATGTTCATCTTAAAATATTTGAGTATCGGGTTAAAATTCATTATTTAGGTACCTTAGCTAGGAACATTTCTAGAACCAACATTTCAACAAGATCTCTCGTTATTACTTCTCGGTCAATGTAGACGTTACTGGATTGCATAAACGTATCTACAATTGTTCTGAAGAAACCTTCATAAGCGTTGAATTGCCTCTCATTGGTAATAGGATCCAATAAAACCTTCGCGGGTGTTAGAAACTTCGGCGGGGACAGCTGCAAAGATTTAATTCCCCCAGTTAGATTCTAAATATTCTCGAATGCCCTTTAATAAAAAACGGAGCTCATGCGCATACTCTGAAAATTAGATTCTATTGTAAGAAAACCCTCATTACTAATATTGTCTGAAGACAAAAATGAAAGAAGTCATTAAAGGCAGTATGTAACGACTTCCTCAATGAGAAACACTCGTGAAAACTATTAAGAAGTGCGTTAAGAAATTTTCGTACGAAATGAACGTCACTGATAATCATATACCCCGAGTTTTGATTTTTTCTCACTTCGTAAGACAAGGATCTTTGTTATTCCCATTTAATTATTTACTCGCAGCAGCATAACGATGTCGCGTTATATATATTCTACGATTTTGAGCTATTTACCTCTAATATTATATTTTCAGGGTCATAATTTAGGTCTGGTTTCGCCTTTATTTTGTAGAAAGGTGATTCTCCACCTGATAGAGTTGTATAATAATTGTTAATGTCCTGCCAATCACGGTGATCCCAATGTGGAAGTATAGTCGGCCATCCACCTACATTTTGTAGAATTTTTTCAATCGGGTCAATACCTTTTTGACTCAAGGTTGCTGTGCAGAAAAATACGTAGTCGTTGATTATAATTACGTTCAGAAGGATGTCAAAAAAATGAACATCTTACCATCGTCTGTACACATGAAGTACCACTCTTTTGCTTTCCTCACGGAATTAATCTCTTGAAACGTCCACGTTTCCATAATATCTATTAAAGAAACATATTTCGATAATCGCAAGTAATTGCATTGGGTTGATGCATAAGTAATGGCGTTTTTTTACACGTTACGTTATGTGTTAAAAACGCCATTACTTATGTATCAACTCAATACATTCCTTAGTTTTATCAGGGATATGATTGCATTGAGAGGAGGATTCAAATGCGAATTTCTATTTACATAAAAACCTTACGTAAAAACATTTTGCAAGGACTTTCAAAAGAATAATATTTCCATAGAAACTTGGATGTCAATTTCTTTTTGCTTGAATATTACCTTTAAGTCGATAGTTTGCCAACTCTTGCGCTCTCCTCATCTGATCGTAGGAATATGTATATGTGTTCGTGAAGCCAGGCAAGACGTTTATCCAATTTCCACAAACAAATTCGTAAAAATCTTCGCAAGGATTCACGGCTAGATTCATACTGTTCTTCATATCACGTCCTAATGAAAATCAGATGCTAAATATAATCAAATTGATTAGTCCATTAATGTTATCAGTTTACCGAGATTCCAACAAACTGGCTCGTTGCACAGAGGTGGAAATCCTGATGAATGCCATACAGATTGCCCCACTGCCAGTAAGGTCAAATGGGCTCTAAAAGTCATTGAAGAAATATTAACTTCAACAATTATGTTATAGAGATATAATTTCACCCCTTGATTCTAGGTACGTACAAGATATTAATATTCAATGTACATGTTCTTATGTCATTCCAGAAAATAACGGAACCCACTGCCATTGCTGTATATTCTTATAAATATCCTTTCCTGTTCTTTCTACTTTGGGTCACAAAACTGTGTCAAATTCATTTGTTCGATTTTATACTTAGAGTGGTTCACGTTCTTTTTGCAGGTGATGGTATAGTCATGCTTTAGTTATTAACAGTAGTCGTGATAAGCACTTCAAAGGAGAAGTCGTGATTATAGTCTGAAATAGGCGGGAGCGTTGCACGTCCCGTATCTGCGATGTGTTTTCTACTATACTGTAAAAGGTATATTCTAATTCCATAACATTTTTGTCGTCAATTTTATTCAGGTATGGTATATTAATTTTAAAACATTTTCAAATAAAATTGATAATATGTTACGGATTTAGTAGATACATTTCCTTTACAATTACATACAATTTTAACTTGTCGTTATAAAATTAGAAATTTATTTTAAAATTAATTATAAACGTGTACTAATTCACTTTTGAGACACAAAGTTTATAGTTTTCCTGCAACCTTATATTCTAAAAGTATATGCATTTTTAGAATATTTTTAGCAATGCCGTGTATTTAATTTCATTAAAACACATTTGTTTCCTTTTGGACGGGCGATTCGCGGCGTAAAGCATTTCTGTCCATTTTACACACTTGGAAACACTGAAAGTCATTCGACCATCGCAATTTACTGCAGCGTGACTCATGCATACGATATAAAAAATAATTAAAGATATGAATTTAAACAGATACAGAAAGTAACAAACTGTGCGCCACGTATCTGCATATTTGGTGAGGAATATTTTGCTTTAACCGTCGGAAGAATACTTTCGGTGTTTCGTTAATATATATATATAGTCTATATCGATTACTTCCACTTCTTCCGATTCGTTAATTTCTACCCCAACGATTCCTACCGCTTTTTGAAGGACGTCGAGCCAGTTGATCTGANTTATATTTATATCACCACATTTTACATTTATGCGGCGGATTCATTTTATCATTTGGTTTGCATTTGAAGGATTTGCTGAAGTCCTCCATATTTGAAATTACACCATTCACCCTTAAATACCATAGACTGTGCTCTCTACCCTCTTGACTCTCCAAAACAGTAGATCTCAATAAATCCTGGCTCATATGTTCGCACCATACCTGAAAAGAATAATGATTAAAAGTGGGTAACTTGTAAAGAAATAAATAAGTAGTCATGACCACAAGTAATTCGATGATATTGAAATTGGCCCAGCTTTTGGAATCGTTCTAAATTAAAACAAATGATAGATCAAATAGTGGTATCGGATTGGATGGCACTTTCTCGAATTTGTGCATCTTAATCCACGAAAATGTCTCTGTGCATCTCAATCGTCGTTCATCCAACGTCATCATATCATAAATGTATGTGACAAATATAAATGTTACTATTCGAAGAACAGATTAAAATGTTCTTTTCTTTCCGACTGTTATTGATTACGAATAGCTACATGAGAATATGGTAAAGTGCTAGGTTGCATATGCAAACTCCAGATTTATGAAATGATGACACGAATAAATATGACCTAATTTTCGTTTACGGATTGTGACTGATGCACTTTTCCCTAGAAATTTACTTACGTTGGCATTCGATATGAAAAACAGCTGATTATGGTCGAATTCCTCCAAATATGGAATTCTTTCCAACGGCAAATTTTTACTTTCTGCCTGGAAAGCGGCAAAGGCCGCCCTCAAACCGATACCATCGGAAAAGTTTTCGTTGATTGTCTTCTCGCCATTTTCCTGAATGGGACTTATATTTAGTTTAATGCAGCTAGTGCTTGCTACATAGATGATAGATAGAGCTTTTGATCGCCCTGAATTTGTCAAGTACTTATAGTCCAGTAGAACTCTTCAAAGGAAATATATTTACTCATAAGTGAACGGTCGATCTTTCCCACTTGATAGCAGTATTTTAAAAATTTATAAACTCGCGTTATGTACGTGGTGGCGTATTCTATTAGATGTTAAATTATTGGAGTTAGGTGGTGCGCGCTGTATCCGATTTGTGGATGTCCCATCCGGCGGCGCCCCAGAGCGCAACATATGGGTTGCATCATGCGGACGTATCCCCTCCTTATAGTTTTTAGTACTTGCAATAAATGCGCAACCAATGTGATGCGGTTCAAAAAGGTGCTTCTCACAAAAGTGTATTACAAGGGATTAAACGAACACTTTATGTGGATATCTATCTCGAATTTAATTCCAATCGCCTCAACATAAATAATTGTAATTCGCGACGAGTAATACAACATAAACAACAAAATATTGTCGGTGAACTACTGACGGAAGTTCAGTAGGATGTTATGCAAAAAACATACCAATGCGTTAAGGAGGAAATCTTTACTTACATTAATGGGTTGTCCAGTAGTTACATTTTTTATTTCTGAGATGTTATAACTGCTATATTGTTGAACAAGGCAAGATCGTATCTCCTTGAACCGCTCAGTAGTGTCTTGTGACCATAACGGAACTTGTTTGTTAAACATCCTTGCTGCCGTTAATATTATCATATCGTTGTTGTGAATTTTTCGCGTTATTTGGATTCAGAGAAATTTATGGAAAGTATTGAGTTGAACATATTGCTTACCAACTTCATCAAACCCGTGACCGAATTCGTGGCCTATCATAGATCCAACTGAACCGTAATTGTACAGCTGCAGAATGCTGCGCAGAAGTGCCGAAGATTTAGAAATTATTTGTTGACATTTATTTTTCTTTGGTATACTCAAACCTGATACTACTTACTTAGATGATCCCGAGACAAATAGTGGCTTTGACAACAGTGGCGCATAAAAAACTAAAATATAAGAATGTAAAATATTCAGTAACAATTTCTTTTTTATGTACATTGATGGAAAGTAAATAATACCTTTTCGATATATGTGAACTTCTGTTTACTAGACGTGTAATATATTTTATATATTCTAGCAATATATACTGACTGTAGGAATTTAAAATTCTTCTGGATAACCTAATTTTTTATTGCACCGAATGAGTAAATCACTTTCTAGAAAAAAATAAATTCTCGTGTTGAAAGGATCTTCACTGGCTACTATCAACAAAATAAGTTGAAGAATTGATCAAATAAAATAAAGACAAATTTTTAAAAAGTACAAAATTTGTTTAAGCTTATTGTCAGTTTCACTAAGTCTGACTCAGAATCGTTAAATTTTCAATAATTGAAAGCGAACGAACGAAAGTTTTATTTCAAAGAGTGAAAGTGTTCCAAAGAAGAAATATTATTCTTTTTACAAGCTTAAGTTTAATTGACTAATCAGTACGTTTGATGGTTTTGTCTGAAACTTCAGACAGTTACCGGTGAACTCGTTCTTGCATCAACTTAAAAAAAATATTGATTTGTCAATAATAATTTTCCCTATCAAATCCTAAATTGTTTCAGATAAATAAATCGTTCTGTTCAGAAAGTGATGTCATTTACATTGATATTATTAATACATGAGATCAATTTCTTATACGAAATTCTTTTTGCAAAAGCATGTTCACTTGATACTAACTTGCCATTATTTAGGTTGTAGTGCTGATAATTCTTACAAAATCAATTTTGCTGTAGTCAAAACATTTCTTTAACAAAAAACATTTAGATTGCCGCAAGTAATCAATTTCGCCTAGAAAGTGCATTCTTCGCTCAGTGTATACTCTTGTAAGATTTTTGAAACAAAATTATTGCCCGATATACTTACATAATTTATTCTTGTCAGTAATGGAGGCACCAGCCTTTACGAACATGTCCTGCCATCTAGGATATCGAAATAAAATATTCAGAATTGCTCAACGCTCATGTTTTCGAAAACTCGGCATTGTAAATTAACTCACATGTAATCATCTAAACGGTCATCGTTATTCATTACTAACGACCTCGAAAAAATAGCTTTTTTTTGGTTCATCATATTTTCGAAAAATTCGTTTGGTTCTGTAGGTAACTGGTGAAAAAGGAAATAAATAGGAGTAGACAAATTAATGTTCAGATTAAAAAATCGATTAAACGAATGGATAATAGGAAAGCAATTATACCTGCTCGTAAAATCGATCGATGTCAATGGGGTTTCGATATGTTGGAGGACTTCCTAAAGTTGCGGATAGTGACATTAATTTAGCCCTCGTTGCATTCTTCGATTGTTCATCCATCCAGTTGGCATTAGATATCTGCTGATCCATGGCAAACTTAATATTATTTAGTATGCGTTCAAACTGGAATATTTGAAATAATAGATTAAAAAAAGAAAATGTGGAAGAAATGAAAGAAATGTAGAAACTTACAGTCTTTAGGTTTGAATCTGGCACGTATTTTCTTAAATATTCGTATACAATTGCTCGATAATAAGGATTTAAGTCGATGCATTCCTGCCACCTAAATTAAGGCAATCGTACGAATTAAGCTATACAATTAATTGTTTCATTTTTAAAAGAAAGCTAGCATTACTATATCATAATAGAATTATTAAGTGTACCGTCGCGTCGTCCACGTGAGCGTTTGTTGCTGTCCTCGGGGCGTAAATCCGGGACCTCGCGATTTGCAATTAAACTCGCGAACACGAAGATAACGCGACGACCATACGCCAACTTAATATTATACGACTGGTTTTTAAATGAATGTGGACCTGAGCTAAGCTACTCTTATGGTCGGCTGATTTCTGTTGAAAACCGTATACGATATTCTCTTGTTGAGAATTGACTGGTTGAAGTTAGTGAATCAAATCGACTGGTTAAAATGTGGGAACCAAGTCGACCGATTGAAAGTAGTGAACCAAGTGACGCTCTTCGAGGATCGCAAAGCTCTCGAAGGTAGCGTCCGCATGCCTCCCCCGCGGAGTGGGAGTTTAACAAATTTGAGATTCTCGAATCAGAGAATCGTGTGGGAAGAGTGATGTTGGAAATTCTGAAAATACTTGAGTTTTCTCCGGAAAAAAACCCCAAAAAGTGTAAAGGAGGGATTCCTACAATGCCGATTGGTTAATATTAGTTTGGACGTGCCAAATTTTTAGGTGCCACCCTTTACTTCGTCCTTAAGTGTCCCAGGTGACTTGCACATAGGGTCGTCCGAGATCGACAAGAGTTGCCCGGGCACGGAAAATTCCAAGTACCACTAGGTAGTCGAACACTTGGGCGCCTTGGAGACAACCTTTTTATGGGTTTATTAGGGTTGGACCATTTGAAACCGGAAATTTAGCAAATCCAAGGGTTTTTTGAGAATAAATGAAACCGTGAGCGTAAAGCAATATACGTCGCCCGGTTCGACGTTTAAAATAAATTGCTACGACCGCTGTAAAGCGATAAAGAAACGCGAAAGAAAGTTGTTTCCGGCATTGGGGCTGAACTCCTGAGAATTTGAGAAAGCCGATTATTAAACATGTGGTTGAATCTAATGTGTCAGGATGCATGTACGCAACATTAAGAAATGGAATAAATCTCACACCTTGGTACATTATTTGCGTCTGAAGTAATTTTATTTGCAAAACATCGGAAGGTTTCTCTCAATGCCGGAGTCGTGTAATGTATCCATCGAGCAATGAATTGCCAATGAATGTAGTTCACTGCGGAAAAGAAATTACGATTGGCAATGATACATTAATAAATGAATTTCATACAATAACTGAATATTTAAGCTTCTTACCGATGACTCGTTCACTCGTCAAATATAAAATAATAGGGAGAATGTCGAAATAATCAATATTGGTGACATCCACTTCTTCCCATTTGTCAATTTGCAACCCAGCCATTTCGACCACTTTTTGAAACACGTCCATCCAGTTTATCTGACAAGTAATTGCATGAAAATAAATTAAACGAAGTTTAGCAATAAATTATTTGTTGTCTCACCCGAGAAATTCGGTTATTTCTATTTATCTCATTGTATCGATACTGCAATTCAGAAATAGTTATCCTGGTTGATGATGTCGGCTCTGCTGTTTTATCATGTTTAGTAGCCTGCCAAATTTTGAAAATGTTAAAATAATAACTTTTCACATTCAAAATTAGACATCCATAAACAGCAATGTTAACTCAGTTTTTGTATTTCTAATGATAGACAATCATACATTTGAGTTTATCTTAACAAATTTGAGTATAGGGTCAGTTCATTATTTAGGTACCTGAGTTAGATACATTTCTAGGACCAACATTCTATTTAAATCTGTTGTTATCACATCTGGGTCAATGTGGACATTACTGGATTGCAGAAAAATGTCCACAATTGTTCTGAATAAGTCGGTATAAGCAATGAATTTCTCTTCATTGGCAACAGGTTCCAATAAAACGTACGACGGTATCAAAAACTTTGGCGGAGACAGCTGCAAAGATTTAATTCCCTAGGTTACATTTCAAAAACTTACGGATGCTCTTTAATATGGGGAGAGAAACTTGGTAGAACGTTAATCCTACAGTAAAAAATGCCCCAGAGCCAAAATCTTGTAGAGCACAAAATGAAAGAAGTCATCGAAAGTAGTGTTTAACGACTTCCTGAATGCAAAAACTTGTGAAAACTGCATTAAGACATTTTCGTGCGATTAACCTTTCCTGTTAGTTACATACCCCGAGACTCGCAATTTTACCTAATTCAGAAATCAAAGATTTCTGTTATCCAGATGTAATTATTTCCTCGCGGTAGCTAAACGGTGTTACGTTATTTATGTTCCTCAATTTTAAGTTATTTACCTTCAACATTACTCTTGGAGAATCAGATTCTAAATCAGCATTAGCCTCTATTCTGTAGAAAGGTGATATCCCACCTGATAGAATTGTGTAATAATTGTTAATGTCTTGCCAATTACGGCGCCTCCACTTTGGATGTATAGTCGGCCATCCACCTAGTTTATTTAGAATTTTTTCAATCGGCTCAACTCCCTTTCGGCTTAAGGTTTCTGTACAGAAAAATATGCATTCCTTGATTGTGAATATCGTTCAAGATCATGTCAAAAATATGAACGCCTCACCGTCGTCTACACAGATCTTGTGCCATTCTTTTGCTTTTCTCAAGGAATCAATATCATTGCGCGGCTGCTCTTCTATAATTTCTGTTAAAGGAACATGTTACTATAATTGCAAGTTGTTGCAGATTTCTTAGTTCGATTAGGTACGTATTTGTATTGAGAATACGATTCAAATCCGAATTTCTATTTGCGTAAAAAATTAAACGTTTTGCAAGGACTCTAAAAATAATAATACTTCTACATTTATGCAGAAACTTTAATGCCAATTTCTTTTTAGATGGATATTACCTTTAATTCGTTCGTTTGCCACCTGCTCGGCTCTATCAAACTGATTGAACGAACGCACGTTAGGAAACCTGTTTGGCCAATTTCCGCAAACGAATTCATAAAAATCATCGCAGGGATTCACCGCGAAGTTCATATTTTCCTTGATGTCACGTCCTGATGAACATTAGATGCTAAATTTAAATCAAATCAACAGGTCGATTACCAATCAGTTGTCAGTATACCAAGCTCCATGCAGGCCTCCTCTTTGCACAAGGAAATATTTCTCGCAATATTTGGCGTTGTAGTTTCTTTTGGTGGAAAGGGCTCTAATGGAGGTCGTTTATATTGTGCCGCTACCAATATTGCTAAATATACTCTGAAAGCCATTGAAGAAATATTAAGACCTAAAGATATTATAATATCACGATTAAAGGTACGTACAAAAAAATGAAATCAACTATACATATTCTTATGTCTTTCCCGAAAATAAGGAAAGTCAATAACATTGCTGTATATTTTTATTGGTCCCGAAGACGACCGAGTTTCTTCCTATGTATGTACCTTCCTGTACCTTCTACTTCAGGACACAAAACAGTCTCAAATTCATTTGTACGATTTTATGCTTGGAATTGCTTACGTTTTCATTTTAGACCCCAGTAAAGTCATGCTTTAGTTATTAACAGTAGCCGTGATAAGGACCTCAAAGGAAAAGTCGTGATTAAAGCCTGAAGCAGCGTATCGGTGTTGTCCGTTTTCAACCACTCTGTTAAAAAATAATCTTACAAGAGTTTTATTGGAAGCTATATTCGGACTTGGTATACTGATTTTATCATATGTGTTGCCGACGTAATTGTCACTATCCACTAATTGTTGAGTTTCTTGGAAAATCATCAGACGCAAGGGTTCGACGAGGACCTTCACTCCAGGTAGAATATCTGCTTATCTAAGGAATTAGTCAACATTTCCAAGAAGGAGATATGGCCACGCAGTGAAGGTTGACCTGGCTTAGGAGTAGTCGTTATTGACATCTCGAGCGGTGTGGAACAAAAGAAGTTGTAAGCAGTCGTCGAGAAAGTGTGGAATAACAGTCACAAGCAGTCGGCGAAGAACTACGTGAAGGAAATATTTCGAAGAGGCAAGGCAAAATGATCGGAGGTCCATGGGCAGACCTATTCCCAGAATCATGGGCGAGGAAAGGCGAGCATGTTTAGAAGATATGAGCATGGCCTAAACAATTGATATGGCTAGACCAAGACGGTCCCTCCGAACATTGGACGGAACGGCACTTGATTGAGGATCGCAGAACGGAACGCTTGAATCCATTCTATATACGTCTTCTTTAACAATAAGTCAAATAACTCTATCTGTGAATCTACGGAAAATATAGACTTGTCAATAGTAGATTCGCCTTCGGTAATTTCACCTCCTACATACGGAACAATAGTCGCAAGTAGGGTGGAACAGTTGTCGAAGAAATGCAAACGGGAGTGATTTCAGGAAAACAAATCGTTTTCAGTACGCGAAAGACGATTGTTCCTGGTTGACGCGCAGAAGAAGAAGAGGGAGGAAGAGAGTGAAATGTGTGGTATCGATGCAGTATGAAGATGGAGAAGCAGCAGTGGGAGCTATGTGGAAGGAGCGATCGCCATTAGCAAGAGGGAGAGCAGATCACGAAGACTAGCCTCAAGATAGACGGCGAACAACCAGGAGAATCATGACGCCCTTCAGAACGCGGTGAGTGAACTCGCTCCAGCTCAGACCGAATTTGAATGCTTGTACTACAATTACATTTCACGCCTCGTTCTTCGAGATTATAATGTAGTACCATGGACATATAATAAATAGACCGCTCACTCCCTATGCTTGAACATGGCTCTGACTGGGTTTAACAGAACGGTGACAGAACGAGAACTGGTCCGATCGGGTATCTTCAAAAACAAGGCGGATATTCAAACGTTCAGTTTTAAATTGGTCACCCTGCATAAATGTAAGTATTTCTGCAGCACTTATTTATCCACGAATAAGCAACATTTGTGCTATTTGTTCTATGTATACTAGCTTTCCTCCTCAGCTTGGAACAAGAGTTAAAAAGGCCCTCACGGCTGCTGGTTCATCGACTTGCTTCACTGAAATCATCATTGATCGGCTTTATCTTATCATAGATTAATGATTCATCGAAAAGAACAGGCAAGGATCATTTGGCGTCACCTTAATTACTTTCACATTGTTTCGATATATATTTAACGATTTAGGTAGCGTAAGCCAAGAAGATGGTCGCACGGCAATTTCTTCGTTTACTTGTTTTACTAAAATCGGCTTCCTCTTCTCATAGATTAATGTTTCCTATAATATCGATAATCCTAAACCTTCGTCGAGATATATTCTGTAGAATAGTGGAAATCACATAATAATCTCCGAAAATTCAGTCTTTTTAGAGATTAGCCCGTTTAAATAAATAGACTCATACCAGGGACTTTATTTTACATTATGTTGAGATAATCGTAGAAGCTTCATTTGGTTATCCACGAATAAGCAGCATCATTTGTACCATTTATTCGTATATTCGAAGGGAGTCATAACTGCTTTAATAAACCTGAAAAATCCTTTTCTGTGCTACGCAAATATATAGTATTACCACAAATTGCATTTGGATTGTTGATTCATTTTGTCGTACTGCTGACATTTGAAAACTTGACTGAAGGCTTCCATATTTGAAAGTTCAGCATTTACCCTTAACGAATTTATGCTGTGCTGTCTGTCCTTTCTCGAATAAAAATCTTTCAATTCATCCGGCTTTTTGTAATCGCACAAACGCTGGAAAGAATAATTATTGAGAGTATGTAATTTTTAAAGAAATAAATTCCATTATTTGGTTGACGATGTTAACCTTGCTTCGGTTTACAGGAGCATTTTCATTTCGAGACAAGTGAGCGATCAAATAGTCGTAACAGATTGTTGGATCTGCTCCTTGGAAGCTGAGCATCATTTAAGACTAAAGTACTTTTCACCGAGAAATTACTCACATTGGCGTACGATATGAAGAATAGCTGATTATTGTCGTATTTCTCTAAATTTGGAAGTCTTTCTAATTGCAAATTTTTGCTTTTTTCTTGAAAAGCGGCAAAGGCCGCTCTCAAACCGATGGCGTCGGCCAAATTTTCGTTGAATGTCTTCTCGCCATCTTCCTATGATGAATTCATTCTATATTTAAATGTAACTGAAGCATGCTAAATATTTTACAAATGGAGCCTTCCTTGAGTTTTTCAAGTACTCACTGTTAAGTAAAACTTTCCAAAGGGATAAAAATTTTAATTTATGAATATCCGTTACTTAATGACATTAAACAGTTCAATTAGTCGTCAAATAATTTTCGTTCGCGGACAGTTTGCAATCATAAACGACGGAATATTGTAAAGATTACTGATAGGTCGTTATTCAGAAGAAACTAATGCATTAAGGACGAAGCTTTTGCTTACTTTAATAGGTTGTCCGGTAGCCTCATTTCTTATTCCTGGAATATCGTAATTGTTAAATTGTTCAACAAAACAAGATCGTATCTTTTTGAATTGCTCGTTAGTGGCTAGTGACCATAGTGGGGCTTCTTGGCCATTTTCATTGAAATATCTTCCTGCGATAAATATTATTACAATATTATTGCTGTGAAATTTCCATTCGATTTTGATTAGGAGAAATTCTTCAAAGGTATCGAGCCAAGTATATCGCTTACCAGTATCGTCAAAGACGTATCCGAATTCATGGGCTATGGCAGATCCAACAAAACCATAATTGTACAGTTGTACAATGCTGCGCAACGTGTCGAAGATGGTAGTGATTATTTTTCGACATTTATTTTTTGTATTACATTCAAATCTTATACTACTTACTTAGATGATCCGGAGATAAACATTGGATTTGTCAACAACGGTATGAAAAAATCTGAAATAAAAGAATTACGAACATTCAATGACCATTTTTTCATGTACATTGATGGAAAGGAAATAAAAGCTTTTCGTTACATCTGAATTTTCGTCGACTAGACGTTTAACACATTTTATGTGTTCTAGTAATGCATAATGATCATAGGAATTTTTTATTCTTTGAGGATAATTTAATTTTTTATTACATTGAGCGAGAAAATTACTTTCTAAAAAAAAATTCTTGTGTCGAATGGATTTTTACTGGGTAATATCAACAAAATAAGTTGAAGGATTGATTAAATAAATTGAAAGCAGATTTTAAAAATACTTAATTTTCTAAAGCTCAGCTTCACTAAGTTTGTTTGACTTATTATCATTCAATTTTTTGCGAATAAACGTGTTAGAATGAAAAGTTGATTCACAGGAATGAACGACTGAAAGAAGTAATATCAGCGTTGTTACGAACTCAAATTTAATAGAAATCAGTATGTTTGATATTTTTTCTCAAACCTCTAACGGTTATTCGTGAACCCGTTCTTGCATCAATTTAAAAAAAAAATCTATACATTATTAATAACGGTTCTGATCAAGTATCAAGTTATTTGAGTTAAATAGAACAGTTGATCCAGAAAGTAAAGTAACTTTCATTGATATAGTCAATACTTAAGACCATTTTCTCCCGTGAAATTCTAGCCGCAAGAATAATTTTTGCTTGATAATAATTTGACACCATTTGGGTTATAACACTGACGATTCTTCCAAAGTAAATTTTTCGCTTAGTGTACATCTTTATGTAAAGTTTTTAAACCGAAATTATTAGCTGAGTTACCTACATAATGTATTTATATCAACGAAGTATAGGGAATCCCCTACGGACATGTCGTGCCATCTAGAATATCGAAATGAAATATTCAGAATTAAACAACGCCCAATATTTAGAAAATTCGGCATTGTGAATTAGCTTACTCGTCATCTTCTAGATGCTCATCTACATTCATTTGTAAAGTTCTTGTAAAAGTACCATACCTCTGATTCTTTACATTTTCGAAAAAACTGTCAGGTACGACGGGCAACTGGTCAAGAAGAAATCAGAAGAGCAGACAAATTAATATTCCGGTTCAGTAATCGAGTAAATAAACGAATGGAAAATTGGAAAGTAATCATTACCTGCGAGTAAAATTCATCGATTTCAATGGGGTTTCGATACATTGGTGGACCTTCTAGCATTGCAACAATTGACATTAATTTTGTCCATGATGCATTCTTCGATTGTTCATCCATCCAGTTGGCATTTGATATCTGCTGGCCCAGGGCAAACTTAGTATCATTTAGTATGTGCTCAAACTGGAATATTTGAAATAATAAATTTATAAGATAAATGATAAAATGATTAAATAAATGTAGAAACTTACAGTCTCTTTATTTGCATCTGGCACATACTTTCTTAAATATTCGTATGTAATTGCCCGGTCAAAGGGGTTTAATTTAATGCACTCCAACCACCTAAACCAAGATAATTGTAAAAATCGATGTAGGAAATTACATCATAGCTTTATAATATAAAATTATTTCTTAAAGAAATAAAACACCATAGTATTATAACAAAATTATCAATAAATGGAATGAATCTGAGACCTCGGTACAATTTCGGTGTTAGAAGTCATTTCATTAGTGAACTTTTGAAAGAGCTCTCTCAATGTCGGAGTCGTGTAACGTATCCAGTGAGAAACAAATTGCCAATGAATGTGGTTCACTGTGGGTAAGAGATCGAGATTAGTAATGTTACATCAATAAATGAATTTCATACAATAATTGAATTTTCAAACTTGTTACCGATGGCTCGTTCATTCGTGAAATATAAAATGATAGGAAGTTTGTCGAAATAATCAATATTGATTACTTCCACTTCTTCCCATTCGTTAATTTGTGCCCCAACGATTCCTACCGCATTTCGGAGAACGTCAAGCCAGTTGATCTGACAAATAATTGGATGAAAATTAATTCAAAGAATTTTAACAATAGATTACTAACGAGTAATCTATTGTTACCTTACCTGAGATTTAGGGTTATTGCCATTTATCTCATTGTATCGATACTGCAATTCAGAGATAGTTAACCTGATTGATAGGGCCGAGTCTGCTGGTTTATCATCTTTAGCAGCCTATCAAATTTTCAAGATGTTAATATAATAACATGTTACATTCAAAATAAGACATTTACAAATCGTAAAGTCGACTCAGTTTTTGTATTTCTAATGATAGAGAATAATATATACAGGTAACCTTCCTGTAACACGGTAGATAGGTTCCTAGAAAATGCCGTGTTATGTGAAAACGTGTTATATGAGACTCAGAGCCAGTACAAAAAGGGGGGATTACGTTTCGAAAACCTATTAAAAACAAATTTTTTTTCTAATTCCATATAAGAAACTTAATTTTGATTAATGTATAACACAAAACGACAAAAAAAAAACAAGAAATATTATTTTCATGTAAAGGCACTATGGTTTATTATTCTTTCCCGCCATTATTTTAAGGTAATTTAGATTTTAAATATATTAAACATAAATCATGTTATCCAGTGTTGTAGGAGTACAGTGTTGTACAAAGGTTTTCTAATTTTCTTATCGTGTTAGAGCGAAACAGTTTTATAGGATTCCGTGCTGTAGGAGGGCTACCTGTGTGTGTGTGTGTTCATCTTAAAAAAATGAGAGTATTGGATCAGAATTCATAATTAAAGTACCTCAGTTAGGTACATTTCTAGGACCAACATTTCGACGAGATCTGTTATTATCACATTTGGGTCAACGTGGATATTACTGGATTGCAGAAAAACGTCCACAATTTTTCTGAAGAAGTCGACATAAGCATTAAATTTCTTATCATTGGTATTGGGATCCAATAAAACATTCGTGGGTATCAAAAATGTCGGCGGGGACAGCTGTAAAGATTTAATTCCCTCGGTTAGATTAAAAAATGTACGGATGCTCTTTAATATGGAGAGAGAAACTTGTGAGGATATTAATTCTACTGTAAAAAATGCGTGCAGATGCAAAATCCTGTAGAGCAGAAAATGATAGAAGTCGTCGAAGGTAGTATTTAACGACTTTCTGAATTAAAAAACTTGCGGAAACTACATTGAGAAATTTTTGTGCGATTAACTTTCCCGGATAGTTACATACCCCGACTCGCAATTTTATTCAATTAAAAAGACGAAGACTTCTATTATTCAGATTTAATTATTTCTGCGTAGCGGGAAAACGGTGTTATGCAATTTATTTTCCCCGATTTTAAGCTACTTACCTCTAATATTACTCGTTGGGGGTCAGATTCTAGGTCAGGTATCGTATCTATTTTATAGAAAGGCGATTCCCCAGCTGATGTAATTGTATATTGATTGTTAATGTCTTGCCAGTCACGGCGATCCCAATGTGGTAGTATAGTTGGCCATCCACCCAGATCTTTCAGAATTTCTTCAATCGGCTTAACTTCTTTCTGGCTCAATGTTACTGTGAAGAAGAATATGCAGTCGTTATTTGTGAATATCGTTCAGAAATATGTCGAAAATATGAATATTTTACCATCGTCTACACAGATCTTGTGCCACTCTTTTGCTTTCATCAAGGAATCAATATCATTACTCGGCTGCTCTTCTATAATTTCTGTTAAAGGAATATGATACAATAATTAAAGGTTATTACCGATTACTTAGTTATATTAAGCACGTATTTGCATGGAAAGGACGATCCAAATAAGGATTTCTATTTGCGTAAAAAGCTAAACATTTTACAAGGACTTTAAAAATAATAATACTTCTGCGTTTCTGTAGAAGCTTTAATACCAATTTCATTTTAATTGGATATTACCTTTAAGTCGTTCGTTTGCCACCTGCAGGGCTCTATCCAATAGATTGAAAGAAGATTTATTGGTGATGTCAGGAAATCCGTTTCTCCAATTTCCGCAAACAAATTCATAAAAATCATCGCATGGATTCACTGTGGGATTCATACTTTCCTTGATATCCCTTCCTAATAAAAATCAGATGCTAATCTTAATTCAAACTGACAGGTCAATTGCAATTAGTAATCGGTTTACCGAGCTGCTTGCAGTCGTCCTCTTTGCACAAAAGAACGTTTGTCGCAATATTAGGCGCTATCAGTAGGATCAAATGTGTTCTAAAAGTCATTGATGAAATATTGACATCAATAGTTAGGTTTCAGAGGTATAATTTGATTACATGATACGTACAAGAAAATGAAATTGGATATACCAATTCTTGTGTCCTTGCAAAATATAAGGGAAGCCAATGCCATTTCTATATATTCATATGCATATATATCCTTTCCTGTGTTTCCTACGTTGAAACGCGAAACTATCTCAGAGTTATTTGTACCGTTTTATACATAAAAATACGTACGTTTTTACCTTAAACGCTAGGAAAGTCATGTTTTAGTTATTAGCAGTTCCCGTGATAAGAACTTCAAAGGAAAAGTCGTGATTAAGGCCTAAACGAGGAGATCGTGCCTTTTTTGCCCGTATATTTTATTTCATTAGAGTACTTTCGTTTTACTTCGTGCGTGCGACACGTGACATGTGATACACGACGTATAACATGCCGGTTTATTTCAAGCTTGTATAGAAACCGAGAAAGTTGTTCGGCCGTCACAATCTAATACACCGTGCATACTATATAAAAAATAATTGAAGTTGTGAATTTACAAAAAATCAAAAGGTTTTCTGTACTTAATCTGTACGTAATAGTTTACAGATATAGGGGACGTGGGACAGAGGGGCTGCTCACTCGGAAATCAGTGAGAACGATTTCCTTCTTTGACGCCCGATTTCCTTTGATTTCATATAATAAATAACAATACGATTCGGTAACAAGCAGCGGACGACCTTAGAATTGTGACAGTGTTTCGGTGATATGCAATGGTTTCCAACGATTTCCAATGATTTCCGCTTCTGATTTCCACATGATTTTGAGCGTTAAAATCCACTATTTCCTCAGTGAATATTCCCTCGAATAGGACGAATTGAAGTGAGATGTAAAATAGTGGGACAACGTTGCATCACTCATGAACATTATTAATTTGTTTAGTGATCATTAACCGGACGGGACGTAATTGGACGGGTCCTTATGTGAAAAAAAAGGTTGTACTAAATGAAATACTTGTTTACTACAAATATTTACTCACCTACCTTTCATATTTATTTGTACGATACTAAAGGACGTAAATTGAAATGTTTTTATTACAAGTATATTATTTTCTTTTCCTATATATATCAAATTATTAGTAAAACTGATATTTTTAAATGTTTTAAAGACTTCATTTGGCGTAGTATTTTAGTTATAATGTTTTTTACGATTATACTGCGTGGGGAAAAATGGAATAGGTACACCACATTTTGGGTTTTCGGCAATAGTCCGATACCTATAATGTCCTAAGACTGACTTAAGAAGAAAATCGCTTAAAACTACAGAATAATCATATTAGGGGCACCCATAGGTAATCAATTTTTTTGATGTCTAAAACACCCCTTTCAAAATAATTGATTACTTATGGGTACCCCTAATATTTAAGGTCAAGACGAAATCTTTATTACGTACAGATGCATTATATACTAACTACCATAGATTTCCAAGTATTTATCTTTATAGATAGATAGATTTATTAATTTCGGCCTTCTCGGTATAGCGGTATTTTCGTTTTTTGAATATTCGCGCAATCGCCTGTAACCGATTTGTGAGGCCTCTACCGGGTTGTTCGCGTAATCTATCTGGTGCGACAAGTTGGGTGGGATCGGAAGGCCAGCGCTCGCTCTCTCGACCCGCAACCTTCGTCCAGGACGCATCAGGAAGGAGGACTTCACGATCCAAGGATCCAAAATTAGAGCAAGAATTGGGCGACGTTTGTTACCGCTCATTGACGGACCGCCCTTCAACTTCCTCCGACGGCCTTCCAACCGATCGCCTGCACCGATTACATCGAATATCCTGAATTGAGGCCAGTCGAATCTATCGATCTATATTTCACCACATATTGCGATCTGAAGCATTAGGATTTATGTAGAGCATTTTTATATCGCGATAGCCCGATTTCATTTTTTCTTTGCGACCCTACCACGTATTAGTTTAATTTGTCGAGCGCCATCATTTAATTTCGATATGTTAAGAGACATTTAAAATATGAAACTTAATATTTGTTACCACACACAAGAAAAAGAACGCTACATCGGTTATGAAATGGACTTGGCTTACAATATTTCCTTAACACACATATATACATACATACATACACTACCATCACTCACACTCCACATTCATACCCTCATCCTTTGCTTGTCTCTTCTTTTTTTCTACTTCTCTTAACCATTCTATTGCTTTTCCATTTATGCTTCCTTCTAATATCTCTTCAAACCTACAATTAGCTCTTTCTCTTCCTCGGCATTCTTCTAACCAATGTTTCAAAGTATCATATCCATCCTTACACAACATGCATTCCCTGCTTTCTTCATTCATCCAATACTTTCCTATTCCATTCTTCTACACATCCACACCTAGTCTCGCCTGTAACCTCTGACTTCTCCCCTTCCCTATCTTCTCTAAATACTCCGGCCGTCCTACCGTTCTAATATGCTTGTAGTTTACGTTATATCTAGGTTCTTGAATTTTGTTATTTTGTTCTTGTCCTTGTACCTCTTTGTCTCTTTGGTAGATTATCTAAGATACTTTGCATCCGTTAACCGCTAACTCCCTAGATCCTACTAAATTGTACCCTTTTCTTTGGTAACAGTCTGCTGTTCCTTTGCAGCATCTGGATTCTACTCTATCACTATCTTTCTCTCTTAGTCATTCTTTCGCAATTCATTTCTCTTTTGCCAACCTTATATTTTCTTCAAATTTAATCGCTCTTCTTCCGGTCTTAACTCTAATCTTTTCTCTTTTCACTTCGTTTAAAACTACATAACTTGGCGTACATCTATCTAAACCTAGGCACTACTTAATATATTTTACTTGGATAGCTTCAATTTCTTGTCTTTCCTTCCATCCAAACACTTCGGCACCGTATAGAAGCACACTAGACACCAGACGGTCAAATAAAATCATTTTTCTTTTAAAATCATTTCTGAACAAATGCTCTCCTCTACCCCATACTTGTCGCATTACGACATTTGCTTATTCTACCCTATCTCTAATGTGTTTGGATCAGTTACCGTTTTTTGGAACTTAACTCCTAAATAAACAAACTCCTTAACTGATTCTATCTTTTTTCCTTTCGAATTCCATTCCGTTTTTCGCTCTCTGCCTCCTCATTTTCTAAATACTAGTAGTTTTTATTTATCCACGTTGAGCACCAGCCGCTTTTTATCGAAGTATTTCTCCAATCTACTAATCAATTGCACCAGTTCCTCTTCTTTGTTAGCCAACATCGCGGTGTCTGCGTATGAGAATGAACAGAATTTTTTTTTCCCTACCACCAGGCCTCTGCTCTGCTCCTTTAGTAATTCTTCTTCAATATCTGCAATCAGACTTGTAAACAGGGTTGGGCTCAGCACACACCCTTGTCGTAGCTCCTCTCTCTCGTCCAGAATTCTTCTGTTGCTCCATTTCCTACTCTTATTACATTACTTGTTCCTTCATTCTTTCGAGGAGCCCTCTTCGTACTCCTCTTTTTCCCATAGCAATTTCCTGTTGACTTTATCGAACGCTACTTTTAGGTATATGAAAAAGGCTGCTACTTTACCTCCTTCCTTTTCAATCTCACGATCTACCACGTATTGTAAGATATATATGTACGTTATCCATAGTACCTTTGTTCTTTCTAAGCCCCGCCTGTGTATCTGGTAGTAATTCTTTCTCTTCTATTTCTGCTAATAACAGTTCGTTTAGAGCTCCTGCGTAAATTTGATAAGCTACGTCTAGTATATTATAGTATAGTAAGTCTAGTATAGTGTAGTCTAGTCTAGTATAGTATAGTAAGAATATTCCCCTATAGTTAACAGCTTGTTCCTCATCCCCCTTTTTGTGGATAGGGACTGTTGGAAATTCACGTTTTCTTTTTCGGGGCATGCCTCTCCTTTCTCCCCATATCTGCTTACCGAGAGCGGTTGAGGCGGACAGTTCCGTTCTGCAAGGGAGTGAGTGCGCATCTCTGCAATTTTCAAAAGTTCATCACAGCTACGCAGTTTTCTTCATCGTGAAGATCGAGAGGCGAGTGAGTGGACCAGATCTGAGGCTACGAGCAGGCCTACCTGACGTGAGCGGATCTACCTGACGTCCACTATCGGCTGAGAGGACCTAGCATTCAATTCACTGAGAGAGGTTTGGGTGAATTTGGTAGATTTGTTTTCCCGCCTGAGGTCGAGAATGATTTCGTGTTGTAAGCATCTTAGAGAACGTTTTCGCTTGCAAGACACTACCCTCAGGCGTCCAGAAGTCACTCTTTCTTCTCCTAATTTTCTTAATGATTCGCCTATAACTTTCTCCTACCTGAGGATTAGTGTTTCTTTCGTCTTGAAGGCATCCTCGAGAACGTTTTCGTCTTCAAGTTCTTTCTTCCTCAGGTGGATGGCTTTTCTATTTAGTCTTGAAAGCATCATCTAGAATGTTTTCGCTTTCAATAAATTCATTCTTCTTTCTGTTGATAGCAGTTTGGCTGATCTCGATAGAGATCAATTTCTAAGTCGCGGCCGCTTCTTCGAGAAATACATTCACAGCTGAGAACATGTCTCCTCTCAACCTGCAATCACTTGAAGAGTTTCTTTTCATTGCGGGTTAAACTTCTCAGGCGGTTAGAAACGGTCGATTCGTTCTTAAATTCGCTTGTTACCGATGATATGACGAATTCAGTCGTTCGTAACACCAAACCAAGTGTTGATCGGCATCCCAATCTGGACATTCCATTCTATTCAATTTTATTCATATTTTATTCCTTTAATGTTTTTTTTTTATTTACGACGATTTCTCTTTTCATCAGTTCTTCTAGATCCTCTTCGGTATCTATTAATTCCCTTTTTCCTCCATCTGGCTTCTCGTCCGTTCCATCTAATAATGTCATGAAGTGTGTCCTCCATTTCTCTTTACTTATAGACTTTCCTCCTTCTTTTTTCTTTTTCCTTCATTTATTAATGTATTGCCACAGTTAACTTTCGTTTCTGACATTCTTGATTTCCTCTAACTCCTTTTCTTTCTTTTTCTCTCTTTGCTCTATGCAAAGCTTTTTTCTTCTCAAGGTATTCTTCTTTTGACGCTTTTCCCATTTTCCATCTTCTGTAGTTCTTCCTTACCTTTCTTTTCTCCGATCTACATTGGCGGTCCCACCAACCCGAACTGTCGATTTCTTTTTCTTTCAGCGTTATCTCTCTTATGTCCAGACACTTTTTCATTTTATTTTCTAACTCTTCCCATGCTGCCTGGATATTATTTTCTACATATACGATCCTTTCAGATTCTTCCTTAAAAAATTGTATGCTTTCCTTTTCATACTTGATAACTGATTTTCTTTGTCCTTCTTTCTCTTTCGTTTCTTCCTGTACTTTACTTTTCCAATTGAGGCATAACGGCTGGTGGTCCGTCTCCACTCTATCTTCTACTGTAAATTTTTCGGCAACTAAACGGCTTTCCGCATTCAACAATACGTAGTCATTAACTGTTGCTCTTCTGCTTCCTACGTAGGTGTACTCTCCATCTTTACCCCCCGGCATATTTCCATCTGCGATATACCAGCCTTTATTCTTCATTTTAATTTTCAATACAATTTTAACCTTTTTTCCTTTCTTCTTTTCTGCGACTGCTGCATATCTTAATTTTCGCAGATAATCTCTTTCCTCCCACGTGAGATCATGTTCGATAAAAAGGTTAGTCCCTCTCAGCTTACATTGTTCTTCGTAACTTCTCGCTTCTCTTTCCAGCTGTTGCAGCGAACAATCACGAGTTTCTGACCTTCTCTTTCTGTCTCCTTTATCCAATTCACCTTGCATTGTGTATCTCATTTTCCACCGAAAAGTTGCTCAACTTGTTCTTTGGTTTTTACTTCGTCTTTCTCTATGTCTTTAATCATCAGGTTACTTTTTCTTTCTTTTCTCTCGTGTAGTTCTAGACCTCTCTTTAGCCTCTCGAAATCTTCCTCTCTTTGTTCCCATATGTTGCCTTCTCCATTTACATTAGTTTCGATTTTTCTCTCTATTCTCTCTACTTTCTCTTCTACTAATTTCTTGTCTACTTTAAACTCCATCTCCTTTTGCTCCGTTGCACTCTTTATTTCTTCAAGAAAACTCCTTAATTCCTTTATTTCCTCCTTTGTTTCTGCTCGAGCTCTTCTCGTCTCTTCTTTGCTGCTCTTAACTTCGTCCATAAGCGCGTTCAACATTCCATTATCTCTGCGTTGTTCTCCACATTCACCTCTGTCGCATCATCTTCCTTTGTCGCGTCTTCCTGCTGTATTTTCTTCACATTACTACCCACAAAATTATCTGTGGCGCCTTTACCGTTTTTTTTTTAGTCTTTCGGCATTTGTAGGTTGGCCTACTTTTGATTTTCCTGCTTCTTTCTTACCATCATTTCTCTTAGATTTCATTTTTCATCTCTCTCTCTCTTTACCTACATTATCCGCCATCGCATATTTTCCTACCTTACTGATCCCTATCCGTTTTACCCGCTGTGAGTGGCTCTGAATGCCGGCCTAACCTCTCTAATCTCTACGCGCGCGTATCTTCTTTTTATTTCTGTTACACTAAACATTTGCACTTTTTTTCTTATCCTATTATTTTATTTTGTTATTTAACACCTCTATTTTCTTCTAAAACCTGAATTTCGCTTATTCTCGCTTTATGTTCGCTATTTTCTCGCTTAGTTGTCGTTACTCTCTCTCATACGAACTGCACAATTTCACAACCACTAACCAAGTCCGTATTTATCTTTATAATAAGATGTATTTATGAATGTTTATTTGTTATATATTAGCTGTCGGGTAAGTCCACTCACGAACAGCGGTTCGGGAACGGCAAAAAAGCGAATGTATTGATCCGATAACCCAATATAAATCATTTTTTAGAGAAATTGAAATCGATATATTGAATATATGAGAAAAAAAATCCATAAATTAATTTTATTCTAGGAGACATTCGTGTAGCAATAGAGATTTTGAGAGAATTCTGTTTTAATAAACCTGAAGAACCCTTTTTGGTACTTCACTACTATATTATCACCACAATTTGCATTTCTGCGGCCGATTCATTTTGTCGTTCGGTTTACATTTGAAGGCTTTACTAAACTCCACCATGTTTGAAACTACACCATTGGTCCTCAAACAGCTTTCACTGTGTTCTCTATTCTTATTCAAAACTGAAGTTCTCAAAAAATTCTGGCTCTTGTATTCGCACCAAAGCTGAAAAAAATGATTAATGTAACTTGTAAATAAATAAATAATAATTACCACAAGTAATTCAACGATATTGAAATTGCTTCAGCTTTTGAAGTCACTTTGAACCAGAACAAATCAATGATCAATAAATAATATCAGGTTGGATGTTTGGCAACATTGGAATTTGAGCATGTTAAGACTGAAGTTTTTTTTAATAGGAAATCACTTACATTGGCGTACGAGATGAAAAACAGCTGATTATGGTCATATTCCTCCAAATATGGAAGTCTTTCCAATTGCAAATTTTGGCTGGCTTTCTGAAAACCGGCAAAGGCCGCTCTCAATCCAATGGAGTCGGCTAAATTTTCATTGAATGTCCTCTCACCATTTTCCTGTGATGAATTCAATCTACATTTAAATGTACATGCTAAATAGTTTACAAATTGAGTCTTAAGTTTTCCGAGCACTCGTGGTTAAGGTGAAGTGAGACACGTCGAGGAACTTGATTGACGTCGATAAAGAAGATTTTTCTAAATGCCTACGTTGCCGACGTTCATTTTTATATTGACAGCTGTATCGAATTATATTGGATATTGTACCAAATGGCATACTTCACCTGCCGTTTTCGTACAATAAATATCAAGAAATCGAAGTAAAACTCCAGAAATCCTCTGGATTCATGCTTTCTGGGGCCCTAATTGACTGCAGAGGGACCCCCTGCGCCATCTGTGATTTCCAAGTCAATTAAACTTTCACTCCGAGACCTCGTATTCCCATCGTTTTAGCATAGAAGCGCATACAACATTTTTTTTGCCTTTATCCCGTTCGAATGCGAGTTTATCGACTACCAGAGTGTTCTAAATTGTTGTAAAATTGTCCTGACCCTTTCGATTCTCATATCCGAGCCTTCGATAATTTATTGATCGAAATATGAGAGCTCGACGCCATTTTGGTTCTGGTCTGGGTTGAGTTAAGAAATAAAAAAAAAACATCCAAATTTTGAATGTGTCAGGACAATTCTTAGATGATCAGGAGTGATGTGTCAAAGTTTTGGATAGTTTGGTCTAATACCCTTAAAAAGAAGTGTTGTATTCGAATCGACTGATTTGAAGGGGGTTTCACTTCACCTTAAGTAAAACTCTCCAAAGTGACATAAATATTAATTTATGAATACATGTTTCTTAATAGAGCATTAGGTAGTTCAATTAGGCGTGAAATAAATTGAATTCGCGACAAGTATGAAGTTATAATCAACGGAATATTGTGAAGACTAATGACAGGCTGGTATTCGGAAGAAACTAATGTATTAAGGACAAAGACTTTACTTACTTTAATAGGCTGTCCAGTAGTTTCATTTCTTATTCCTGGGATGTCGTAACTGTTAAATTGTTCAACGAAACAGGATTTCTTCTCCTCGAATCGCTCATTAGTATTTACTGACCACAACGGAGTTTTCTGACGATGTTCATTTAAAAACCTCCCTGCGGTAAATATTATTAACAATATTATTGCCGTGCATTATTCGTTCCGAGCGGTTATTCACTCAGGAAATCATGGATTTTAATGCTCGAAATCACACGGAAATCAGCTGGACATCGAAGACAGAAATCAGGGGAAAACGTTGGAAATCACTTAAATATTCTCAGTATTTTAATACCGATCGTCACTTGTTACCGAATCACATTGTTGTTTATTATATGAAATCAAAGGCAAACGGTTCTTACAGTAGAACATGGTTTTCACTGATTTCCGAGTGAATAGCCTCCCGATTCGTTCAATTTGGCTTTGAATAAATTCTTCAAATGTACTGAATTGAATATATTGCATACCATCATCATCGAAGGCGTGGCCAGTTTCATGGCTTACGACATATCCAACGGAGGCATAATTATATAGCTGTAGAATTCTACGGTAATGAAATGGTAGAGATTATCTTCCGATATTTATTATTTTCATGACACTCAAACGTTATAGTAAATATTTACTTAGATGGTCCTGAAGTAAACAATGGAGGCGCTAACAGAGGTGCGTAAACGACTGAAACATAACAAGAATTACATGTACCCACGGAACACCAAACCTAACAGTTACATAACTTAAAGCTAACATATAACATAACGTTTGTTACAATATAATAACCTAACAGTTATGTAACATAGAGCGAACTAGTTACATGACATTTGTTACTATCATATCTATATAAATGTAGCGTAACTTTGTTACTCTTATCTTACATTGTGTTACTGTCCTGATATTACTGTGTATATGCAGTACATATTTGTAACAAAACAGAACTACATTGAGGCTAACTGTCACCTATTTTATTATATCATCGCCATCATCATTGTCATAATTCATCGTCAAATATCATAAAATTAATATATATCATGTTTTGTTTACAACTCGTATGAAAAAATGTGATTTTAATTCGTACGCGCATATA